TTGAAGGATGGCAAATCAACAGACGAAGTATTGAAACTTCATCAGCTGTGGTGGTTGGGACATGTGTTACGAATGCCTAACCATTACATTGATGGCAGTGGTCTTACATTAACTTACCATATTGAATGTGTTGAATCCTTGCTTTTTTATTTAGAACCTAAGTCAGTCAGTCAGTCAGTTGCAACGTAGAACTTCGTACGTATGTACATAAGTTCATGTTGCCATACCACATTATTAGCACAGAGACGCAAATGTCAAATCAAATCCCATAGTGATAAAGATAGTAGAGGTATTAATGTTATAATAAAGAAGACTAGGGTTTAAGATATTATTCAAAAAATATAATTCAGTGAGATAAGGTTAGAAAGACAAAGGTAGAGGTGCTGACGAATCCAGAAGATTAGGATTTGAGAGAGCTCAAAGAGTGGATGCACCTGCGCCATTGCAGACGATTTTGAGCCATGTCGTTCAAGGTCTCTAACCATTGATGACTTTCGTCTCGCGGACCCCAACCAGGTAGTCTACATCTACCAACATGACTCAGTCCACTTGTCAGGGACTTCATGGATTTCTGCCATGTTTTGGTCTGGCCGCCCCTAGCTTTCTTCCAACCTACTCCTACACCACAAAACATAGCTCGTCGAGGCAGTCGGTGGTTAGGCATACGTAACACATGTCCCAACCACCTCAACTGATGAAGTTTCACCACTTCATCGATTGATCTGCCATCCTTACCTAGTACTCGTTTCCTAACGACAGCATTGCTTACTCGGCTGTCCCACGATATACGAGCAATGCTTCTTAAACATCTATGATCGAATACTAGTAACCTACGAACATCTTCTACTCTTAACGGCCATGTTTCACAGCCATATAAGAGAACGGAACGAACTGCTGCGCAGTACACCCGCCCTTTGGTTAGCGAACGGATATCACGCCTACGCCATAAGTGACGCAGGTTGGCGAAAGCCATTCGAGCTTTCTGTATCCGAGCTGAGATTTCGTCAGTCACCAGACCGTCAGCACTGATGAGACTCCCCAGATAAGTGAAGTGATCTACACGCTCGACTACTTCACTCCCTATTACTAGTTCAGGTGCCGAAGCAACCCAGTCTTGAAGCAACATTTTGCATTTCCAGGGGGAAAACCGCATCCCGAACATGCTCGCATTGTTGCTTATGGTAGTCAGAAGACTCTGCATTTTGTCAGCGTCTTCACCGAATAGAACTATGTCATCGGCATATTCTAGATCAGTAAGCGACTTTCCTGGTAGAAGGTCAACCCCTGAAAAATCTGACGAGCTTAATGTTAACTCTAAGAGGGTGTCTACGATAAAGTTGAACAAGAATGGAGAGAGTGGACAGCCCTGACGGACACCACTTGATGTAGAGAATTCAGATGACAGTTCGCCATATGCTCTCACCCGACCAGTGGTGTTCGAGTAGAGTGCTTGTATAAGGTTAATGTACTTCTTTGGTACACCTTTCAATGACAGACACTGCCACAGAACCTCACGATCCACTGAGTCAAATGCCGCCTTAAGGTCCAGGAACACGACTATTGTCGGACGTCTAAATGTGTGTCTGTGTTCCAGGACCTGTCGTAGTGTGAAAATGTGGTCTATACAACCACGTCCAGGTCGAAAACCAGCCTGGTTTTCTCGAGTCTGACCTTCACGAGCTCTAGTTAGACGTCTAAGTATAATCGAGGCTAACAATTTAGAAACTATATTAGTTAAACTTATTCCCCTGTGATTGTCACAAGAGGACTTCTGTCCTTTCTTGTAGATTGGGACAATTAGCGACTGAGACCAGTCAGATGGGATTACGTCCAGTTCCCAGATTCTACCTAGGATCTCGGTCAGTTTAACCGTTAAAACTGGACCACCATCCTTAAACATCTCAGGGGTAAGCCTATCGGGACCTGCCGCTCTACCTCTCCTTAGATTTCCTATAGCTTTCTCAACTTCATGTAAACTGGGAGGACTTAAATCGATTTGCCATTCAGGATGACTGGAGATCGTGGGCAACCGAAGAGTGGCTGAAGGCCAGTTGAGCTGATCCCTAAAGTGTTCTGCCCATCGGTCCAGCCTCCTAGATTGAGAATGGATAATAAGACCATCCTTTTCCGAGATAGTCTCACTTACATTCGGGTTCCTAATACCGGTTTCTTTAATAAGGCGGAAAAGTTGTCTAGTGTTGCCTATCGCCGCTGCCTTTTCCATCGCTTTTGCTTTCGCCACCCACCACTGTTCACGGTCGTTACGTAGGCTTTTTATAAGTCTGCGCCTAAGCTGACTACGCTCCTCATCATGTTCAGAGTCAGGTGGGATGCGTTTTCGAGCATCCATCAGTTCGGTGGATGCGACTGAAATCCACGGCTTCATCCTAGCCTTATGGTTTACCTTGCTAGCAGATATCACTGCTGTTTCCACAGCCTTCTTTATATCATTCCAACCTGACTCCGGATGGGAATCACTTGCATGATCGCCCAACTGTTTTTCTACTTCCTCCTGAAATATTTTCTTAGCTTGATGATCATCAAGTAAAGCCCTAAGAGGCTTCCTTACGGTGTCTTTCCTACGTCCAGCAAGCCTCAAACAAATATGTGCTCGCACTAGGGCATGATCTGAATCTAAACATGTGCCCCAGAAAGAGCGACAGTCCTCTATCGAACCCCTCCATCGGTGGCTGATGGCGATATGATCTAGTTGTGTCCAACGTTGAGACGACTTCGGGGGTCGCCAGGTCAAAAGGTGTTTTTCCTTATGCTTAAAATTAGTGTTTGCTAGAAATAGTTGGTTATCTGAGCACAGTTGCAACAGACGGTCGCCATTGTCTGTTCTTTGAGCCGCGAGACCGTAACATCCACCTAGGTGTCTTTCATTTTCACTTAGTCTACCTACTTGTGCATTGAAGTCACCAGCCATTATAACTATATCAGAGCGCTTAACTTTTTGGAGGAGGTCCGAAAGCTTTCTGTAAAACTCATCTTTTACATCATCTGGGCTGCAGTTAGTGGGGGCGTAGGCTGATATGACGAAGAGGCAACGGCGAGTGTCCCTATCTTTCCGAGTCCTTACTGTCCCGTTCAGTCGGACGGCGCACAAGCGACTATCTACAGGGATCCAGTCAAGGAGAGATTGTTCTGCCCTACGACTCAATGCTATACCTACACCGGCGAGGCCCCTAGAAGCAGCATCAGGGCTACCGGATACACGAAGGGTAAATCGAGCTGCTTCTTTATCTTGACATGGTGAGGTCAAATGAGTGATGCTACTCGGATCCTGTATGCGCGTTTCCGAGACGCAGCACACATCGATGGAATGAGATTCTAAAGTCCTAGCTAATGACGCCTGTTGCCCTATTTGACATAATGTCCGTACATTGAATGCTCCAACATGTAGTTTGGAACGGGGTTTAAGGAGACCAGGAACGACGTTTCGCAAACTCGCATCGTTTGCATTAGCTGTGCACTGTAATAAATGAATGTGAGAAGAGTTAGTTGTGGAGATAAGAGAGGTATTAGGGAATGTAGGAAGGATTTGATTTTGAACAATTTTGTCTCGTGTGCTGTTGCGGGTATGAGGGCGGTTATCACTTCCCGGCTGCCCACACCGTGGAAGGTTGTTTCTTGACGAACCTGAAAAGGAAGATGGATTAGTGTTGGTGCGTGACCGCAGAGTCCAAGGGACAACTGCTTGAGGCCGGTCACGCACGGCCTTTTTATGGAACGTTGTTTGAGGATTAGCTCCGTTCTTAAAGGCCCTTAGTGGGCACCCTTACCCAAGGAGACGGAAATCCGTGAGGTAGGGGAGGTGTGACATTTTTAGGGCCGACCTTTTCTAACCCTTCCTTCCTTGTGAGAAGGCAGCATCGCTGCAGATGCTGGTTGTCCGAGGGAAACACCTTACTGCTGTCACACCCCTCTGCAGTCAGCAGTACGACTTCGCCCTCAGACCTTGGGTAGCTGCTTTTAGTCTCATCGTTCTCCAATCGACCTGCCTGGCATGGTAGGACCTGCAGGAACATGTGTTCCAGCCAGTATAGCTCGGTTGGGTCATCACGATAGGCAAGCCCGACCACCACGTCAAGGTAGCAGCTTCGGTCGGGATTTAGAACCTAAACTTTTACATGTTTAAAACTGAGAATTGAAAGACACCCATTGTGCACAAAAGAATCTCTACAATTTGTGACGTAACAGAAATAATTACCACAACAACCCCACTCAATACCGAGCAACTGAGGGTAAGCATAATCAAAAAAGCGGCAATGTATAGTCGGCACAAATGCGCGGTGGCCATATTGACATAATGAATCAGCGTGACTAAATAAGCTTTACAAGACGAGTGGAAAGCAAGTCAAAGTGATCATCACAGCAATGATAGCAATAACATACCTTAAGAATTTGGTTCCAGAAAACAGAACTAATTAAATGTACAGGTAAACAAGAGTTTGAAAATGAGAGGATAGGAAATTAACAATGAGGCACGTTAGTACACAATTATCCAGAATTAGAGAAAACGATGTGCAACTTTTAGACGAATTTCTATCCATGAATGTTACAAGTAACTTACTGCAGCGAGGCTCTCAAGTGGAGGAAGAAGTGAGTGGGCATACTCAGGACCGCCAACATATGGCACTAGAGTTCCTATTTGTTCTGCCAAAGTGAGTAGTACTTCATCCTCATCATATATTGTCTCAGTTAGAAACGGTATCAATTGGGATCTAGTCTTTTCTGGGCCAAGAGCTAAAGCGATAGTAGAGATTTTTCGAATGCTGTGAAGGCGAACGTGCAAATCTTCACCACGAAGTTCTTCGATAAGTACGCCAATAGGATAATCTTCATCCCTCTCACTTTCCATCAGTATCTAAATAAAGGAAATTGGACCGAATCAATCGATTTGTAACAATATGTTAAATTATAACTTGAAAAGTGAGACTTTTCTACATATATATTTCCAATTAGAGGCACTCTATATGGTTGACATTACATTCAAAACTTCTATATTCTCAGTTTGTTGTTCTTAACTAAACCTCATCTTTTCGAAAGTTGAGCCAATAAAGGATCAGGAAACATAAATGAGCCGTACCTAAGATTTGACAATATTATAGAACCTCAGATTTAATAATTCCGGAAGGAATAGTGTGTAATAAACGACTCACCTACTCAAAACCTGTTTTTTAATTAGATCTCGACCTTTTAGGCAAGAATCCTCGTAGTTATTGATGATTCTTACAGAAAACTGCACGCAGGAAACCTTCTAAATGTCATAAGACTCAAAAATGGCGCATTCACGATGAACAAACTAAAACTGATCCAATATCCAATATCTTTTTCACGAGCCAGTATAAACCAATTGATTTCTTTGCGCTCGATTCTTGTTCTTTCGGTACGGTTCCACGTGCTCGGTGGTATCCAATAAATGGGGGTCTGGCCACTCGACAGTCTAATTACAGTCAGTTGTCAGTTGGATGTGAGTTTGTATATCTGGGGATTTGAATCAAAACGTTTGTTTCAGGGCAGTATAGATTCTGGATGCCAGCAGCTATCACAATACCAGACTGGAGATCAGTTAGTTGCCTAATAAAGAATAATAATAATGAGGATCATAAGGATAAAATTCTAATGCTAATATGAATAAAATTTCAGAACTAGGTAACATATAGATGATTTAGTTTATTAACTGGTAGTGAAGATGGTGAGAGAGAGGACCGAAATTTAAGCAAGGGAGAGGAAACAGAGATAATAGGCGAGATAGATTAATTGAGTGATCTGAGGAGATGGCGATGTTAACAACTAGCAGGTCTCAAGATATGCATCATGAACAGCTTGTCCAAGATGGAGATGATAATCCGTATGTGAATAGCTCAACTTAACTCACTTCCTCCAAGGTCGTGCAAGTAAGCGTCTAGACACTACCTTAAGGACTGACAGGACTAAACACATTGTCCATATTCATGGACAAAACGGTATTTCTATAAACAATCCGAGAAGTCAGTATTATTATTCGGTTCATCAGTAAATTGTGTGCTGTTGATCTGAAGAGATCTGAATGAGACCTAACCTTTGCTTATCAATTTTTCATGCTTCTCTCTGTGCTTGTGACGTTGGTAGGAACTTAAAACACTTGGTGGTTCTCTCTGCAGCACCACTAAACTGTCGTGCTGAAAAAATAGATCTTATTTCCTCTGACAATTTATCGACCTTCAACAACAATTCTACTTCCCTTATAATCCCAGATTAATCTATTACGTTACCACTAAATGGCTTTGGCCTATATCCTGGCAACTCAGTCTATGAACGAATCGAAACACTCTACTAACCTAACCTAAAATCAGCGTATTATTATCAATCATACAACCAATCAAACAAGAATGACGACCTCGAACATCAATACTCACCGAACTCCCAAAAAGAAGCCTGCCATTTCTGTCAGATATAGGCATTGTAACGAAATGAAACCAGATGACAGTGTCAAACTTATGTACCAGAACTTAAGAGAGATAAAATGAATTATTTACAAAATCAAATAGAGAAGAAAATAATGCACTACTCAATACCGAGTCGAATCCAATCATGCAATGAAAACCTGTAACTAGGTAAGGCTGAGACTGTTGGGGATGTTAGATCTCCAGAACTGGCCTGATAAATGCCTTATTTTGGATTTCATGTTTGCGAGCATAGGCGGATCGGTTGAACTAGGGATTTCATTTCCCACCAGGAAAATCTTTGGCCGTGATAGGCTGCTGTGTATTTTAGTGTGCTATTTTTGTGACTATCCCAAGGACGTTTCTATGATGTATAAATACACCAGATTTGTGTGTTTGATTGCATTTTGCTTGCTGTGTGTTTGCAGAATATACTTTCTACGCATATCAAGACTTCCCTTTTGCAGTTTGGGATCAAGGTAGCCTACGTGGACGCTGGTAATTGTCTCGTTCGCGTTTATCGACTAAGGTAAACCCGTAATAGCTTCAAGCGCACCTTGTGACGAACGTAACAGAGACTAAAAAAACAATCGTGCTTTAATTATTCAAGCTCAAAATGAGCATGAATTTTTATTGAATTAATTATTCACGACTTCCAAACTTGGAGCCGTCCTAATAACAATAACAAGAGCAATCATCAACCATACTTTCGTTCGATATTCTCACTTATTCTGAATTCCAACCACTAACTGTGATTCCCGAGACCAACTACGAAGCCCGAACAATATGTAGACATTGGTGCCATAAACGCGAAACATTACCACAAACAAACGA